CTGGAGCTGGGAGTGGTGCTGGTCCCGGAGGTGCTCGTACTGGAGGTACCGGAGCCGCTGGGGCTAGAGGTGCTGAGCTTGAGGGTGCTACTGCTGGAGACCCTGGGTCTGGCGGTGTTGCTGCTAGAGATACTGAGGCTGGAGGCCCTGGGACTGGAGGTGCCGGTTCTGGGGGTGCTGCTGCTGGTGGAGCTGGTCCTGGAGGAGCTGGCGTTGAGGGTTCTGGAGCTGCTGGAGGTGCTGGAGCTGCTGGGGGTACTGGAGCTGCTGGTGCTGGTGGCACTGCACAGCCGCGCCTGTTCTTTGCCCCACTGTCTCTGTCGTCTCAGCCACCGCCTGACTCTGTGCTTCGACAGGTTCTTAGTCTCCCTTCGTCTACTGGTCTTCCGTTACAGCCTGGCTCACCGCTGCCTGCTCCTTCTCCTTACACTGAGCAGACAGGGGGTCTTATTGAGCATCGTGAGCCTGCGTCGCGTCCTGCCTTGCCTGTCCGTTCTGGTCGTTCCGGTCGTAGTGTTCCTCGTCCGCGTCAGGCGGCTGTCCCCAGCACCCACCTCGTAGTCCATCGTCCTTTCTCTCCTCCATAGCGTGTTCCTCTGCCGTCTCCTCCTGCGTCCTCTCTGCCTACCGTTCCAGAGCCTGCGTCTGACCGCGCCCGTGCTGCTCACCCTACTGTCACGCGTCTGCTAGCCACAGTTGTCACTGACCCGTCGTTTGAGTCTGCTGATGCGTCTGCCTTAGTCGCTGAGCTTGTTGACTTTGCTGCTGCCTGTCGTCTAGACTACGCCGCTAGTCTTGTTGCTGAGTTTGAGTCTGTCTGTCCTCCGTCCGTCGGGGGTGAGTGTGCTCTTAGCACGGACGTCCTTGAGGACAGGCAGGAGGACCTTGCGTGTCTTGCAGCCGCTGCGCCTCATCTCGTGTCCATGCTGCTTGCCCCTGAGGGAGACCCGGATGCTCCAGACATCCCGACCCCGCGCTCTTACGCTGAGGCGATCGCGGGTGAGTACTCCTCTCAGTGGCAGACAGCCATCCTGGAAGTCCACAGGCACGTACGTCGACGAGGTTCCCCCTCCTGGGGCGAACATCGTCAGTGGCATGTAGATTTTCAGGGTGAAGCGGCCGCCAGGTTCTCCGCCTGTCTTCAAGGCTCGTTACGTTGCTCGAGGTTTTAGTCAGCGAGAAGGAGTTGACTTCTTCCAGACCTTCTCCCCCACCCCAAAGATGACCACTCTTAGGGTGCTGGTGCACGTTGCCGCTCAGCGTGACTACGAGCTTCACTCTCTTGACTTCAGCACAGCTTTCTTACAGGGTAGCCTGCACGAGGAGATCTGGCTGCGCCGCCCTCCTGGCTTCACTGGGTCGTTCCCTCGTGGTACCCAGTGGAGCCTCCGGCGGCTGGTCTACGGTCTCCACCAGGCACCACGTGAATGGCACGACACACTGAGGACGACTCTTGCTGCTCTTGGGTTTGCTCCGTCGACTGCTGACCCGTCGCTGTTTCTGCGCACCGACACTTCGCTGCCGCCGTTCTACATCCTCCTGTATATCGACGACTTGGTCTTTGCCACTGATGACACTGAGGCTCTCGCCCTGGTGAAGTCGGAGCTGCAGAAGAGACACACGTGCACAGACCTAGGTGAGCTGCGCAGTTACCTTGGCTTGCAGATCACCCGGGACAGAGCACGCCGCACCATCACACAGACTCAGTCACACATGGTGCAGCATGTCCTTCAGCGCTTCGGCTTCACCTGGTCCTCGGCACAGGCCACTCCTCTGGCTACAGGTCACTCGCTCTCAGCTCCACCTTCGGACGAGTCCGAAGAGCCGAGTGGTCCTCTTGAGAGCTAGTGGGCTGCCTCATGTACCTGATGACCTGCACTCGTCCTGACCTTGCGTACCCTCTTGGCCTTCTGGCTCGCTACGTGGCTCCTGGTCGGCACCGAAAGGTGCACATGGATGCTGCTAAGAGGGTACTACACTACTTGTGCAGTACATCGGGCATGGGGCTCGTGCTTGGAGGACGGAGCGACGTTGTCCTCACTGGGCACTCAGACGCTTCTTGGGTTGACGACCAGGCTACGCAGTGGTCGTCACAGGGTTACACCTTCAGCCTTGGCTCTGGTTCAGTTTCTTGGCGTTCTACTCGCTCGTCTTCAGTTCTCAGTTCCAGTTGTGAGGCTGAGATCTACGCCACAGCCATGGCTGCACAGGAGTTACGCTGGCTCACCTACCTGCTGACCGACCTGGGAGAGCGGCCTCGTTCTCCTCCAGTGCTGTACGTCGACAACAAGGCCGCCATTGCCTTGTGTGAGGAGCACAGACTGGAGCACAGAACGAAGCACATCGCTCTGCGTTACTTCCTGGCTCGAGAGCTGCAGCAGCGTGGTCAGCTTCGTCTTGCTCACGTGGCGACTCGGGCCAACACTGCTGATATATTCACTAAGGCACTTCCGTCTGGTGATCATCAGCGTTTCTGCACTTTGTTAGGCCTTGTGCCCACTTTTCTTCACTTGCTGTAGACTTTGCTTGTACTGTGATCTACATATATATACCTGCATGCTGACTCTTGCTAGGTAGTGATCACTGTACTGCTGTTGTTGCATATATACCTCTGCATGTGAACTGGCCTTATGGTCCTTTGCTTGTGCTCAGTGTGTGTGGTGACGTTGTGATCCACCCTGAGCTTGCTTTGCTTCTCTTTACTGGTCTTGTGACCTCTTGCTCTCCCCCACTTTGCTTATGGGGGTGTGTCAAATATTATATATGCCATATGTGTTTAGGCTGTAGTGGGGTAGCCAATATGGGGTACAGCCCACATTAGGGTTTCATATTTGAACCCAATTCTTTCATAGTTCAATCATTCCTGCTGCTAGATTCTAACAGCTGCCATTATCGACTCTCACCTCCCCACCTTGCCTTCACGCCCCTCCCCAGATGCGTGGGATTCATGGAAACTGGCCCTCACACTTAACCTTCAGCGTTTCTCAAATCAAGTGCGCAAATGGGTCACAGGCACTATTGACCACCTCGTACAACTGATCAGCCGCCTGCAACTCCAATCCGCCCTCTCCCCTCTGGACAATGAAGCAGCCGCACTTCTCCTCAAAGCCCGCCTACAACTAACAAGATACGAGGCATCTAAAATAGCTGAGATCGCTCTTAAATCTAAGCTCAAAGTCGAGGGCCATAGGGAGATGGGTACCTCCTCCTTGCTGGCAGGCCTCAACTCCCACATCAAAGATTCACTAATCTCATCGCTTATACTACCAGATGGACAATCCACCTCTGACCTCCACGCCATGACTGCTGAATGCACAAGATTTTTCCAGTCCCTCTACAGCGGAGAAACCCTGGGTGTGCCAAACCCCGCCTTCTGGGCACACATCCCCCCGTCTTCACTCCCTACCCGTCTCATCAACCAATTGAAAGCTCCCTTCTCCCTTCTGGAAATCAACCGGGCCATAGGGCAACTATCTCGCGGCAAAACCCCCGGCCCTAACGGCATCCCGGGCGAGTTTTTCCGACAATATAAGACCCGTTTTGCTCCTGCCTTCTTCTCGCTTTTCTCCTCACCGCTCACCGCCGCCTCCCTGCCGCCGTCCATGCTTTCAGGCCGCACCGTCCTAATACCTAAGAGGGGAAATTCCTCCGTGGTAGAAAACCTCCGCCCTATTATCCTCATGAATCCGGACTATAAGGTTCTAGCTCTCTGCCTTGCCAACCGGCTGCAACTCGCTCTACCTCTGATTATCCACCCCTCTCAGACCGCCTTTATTAAAAACAGGAAGATTGGTGACACGATCAATGACACACTCGACATATTTGCCTTAACTGTTGACTTCCGCAAGGCCTATGACCTGGTTGACCGCACCTTTCTCTTCCAAGCGCTTGCTTCGCTGGGACTTCATGAGCACTTCATCGCCTGGGTCCGCCTCATGCACAGCAATACCTCCACCCGCATTTCTGTTAACAACCTTGCCTGGCCCACCTTCCCTGTTCGAACGGGGGTACGACAAGGATGCCCTCTCGCCCCCCTCCTATTTGTTTGTGTCATCGAAATCTTTCAACGCTACCTATCCCTCTTCCTCCCGGGGTTTCCCCTCTCTACGACGCAACGCCGACTCATGGCTTGCTACGCTGATGACGTCACCATTTCCCTCTCCTCCGTCAGAGAGCTTGGGACCACACTCATACACCTCCGGACCTTTGCCGCCATCTCTGGAGAACACCCCAACTGGAACAAATGCTCAATCATCCCCTTCTTCATTGCTCCGGAACATATCATCCTTGCTGGCCCCATTCCCATTCGCACTCCTCAAGAGGCAGAACGTATCCTTGGTATCTACGTCGAACGAGCACAACCAGGCGCCACTACCTGGTCCATGACCCTCTCTCGTATTCAACGTACGGCTAAGTTCCTTGCCGCCCTTCGTGCCACAGCTACCTGCCGCAAGTCACTTGCGTCGGTTTTCTTAAACTCCATTCTCTCTTTCCCTGGCCGCTTTCAAACCCCCTCTCTCGAAATTATTAAACGGCTTGACGTCCTGGTCGGGAACTTCCTTTCTTCCTCTCGTTTCAAAGAACACGGCCTTGCGGTCCGTCTCATCCCCAATCGCCTCCTGTATAATTCCACCCGACATGGAGGTCTCGGGGCGATCGCTCCTTCCACCCAAATCCGCACTCTAGCCACTCATCGTGCGCTTCGTCGCTTTGGCGCCTCACCATCAGAGGAAGTGGCGAGAGCCGCCGTCTGCCTCCCTTTTGGCACACACTGTCTCTTAGCGCACCCTACTATCCTCAAATCAGGTATTCTTCCAGAGGTCGTCCCGAGTCGAGCGCGCGCCGAATTGCACGCAGTGATAGAACTCTCCCCGAATATCTCCCCGCCTCGCCTCCTCCCTATGTGTATTATGGATGAGCCTACCGCCTTCAACCGTTTTATTCTCAAACCGAACGGGACGCCCTTTGGAATTCTGTCGCGTGAACGCTTCCTCCTAACCATGCAGATTCGTGTCGGTCACCTTATCTCACTTATCTTTCACTCACTTGGTGTGGTCTCCTTCAAACATTTCACCTCCATGTTTCCCCTCGCCAACTCCTCTACTGGACAGAGAGTCTGGCGAGACCTTGTCCGTGCCATCCCCAAGCTCTGGTGGTCAGCCCTTCGCTCCCCTCCTCCCCCGTCGGCAGCTCTCGGGGAGTGGTTCGTCCCCAAAGACGATGCTGATTCCTCCCCCACTCTTGCTCTCCAGGTCACGGCCTTCTCTCCCCCGTCATCGCTCTCAACCTCCCTTCACCGTGTGCTTCCCAACCGTCTCATCGTCCGCTCGTCGTTCGGAGATGGCACCTTCAACATTGGTGACCTTTGCGCGGTGCATGTCGTTGGGTCCTGGCTTGCAGGCCCCTTCTATACAGGTGCAGGGCTCGGCGCACGGCTCGACATCCTACAGGACGGAGGCCCAAGTGTAGCTGACATCCGTCGCCGCCTCTACACTCAGCTTCCACTTGACCACGCCGCCCGCTGGATCCACGTCCTCCCAGTCCCTCCTCCTCTAATCCCTGACTTCTCCCACGATTTTCTACGCGAGCAACCCAGTCTTCAACGCGATGTCTTGTACCGGTTTTACACTCGCGCTCTTCCCTCGGGTTCGCGTTTCAACTTTGCCGCAGATCGAGGGATTTGTTCACTCTGCACTGCCGCACCCACAGAGACTATCTCCCACATCTTTCACGAGTGCGGGGTGGCCCCTGTAGTGATTTCTGCTCTCTCTTCCGTCGCTCGTCGTCACCTCCACTGCTCTCCTCCTCCTGAGCTCTTGCTCTTTCCACTCGCCTCTAGATCTGGCCAGGTGGCCCCCTGGAGCCTCTTGGTTGGAGCATCTGCAAAAGCCATTTGGAACGCGTGCTGTGAACACAAGTTCCAAGACTCACCCTCCTCCCGGTTTGAGATTCTCCAACTCATCCTATCACAGTTCCTCATTTCGTTCAAAATCTTTCTCTGGCGAAGGAAGAAACAATCAGTGAAAAAACAACGACGCTCAGCCGCTCGTATCAAGCTGGCCACTCAATTTCGCTTCCTCGTTTTTGACCATGACGGCACCCCTTCTATTCACCCTGACCTCCGCGCATCCTGGCTGCTTGACGACCATTTTCGCCCCCCTTAGGCATTCCTTTTTTTAGCATAGAGAGCTCCCCAGCCGTGCTGGTGGTTATCCGTAGGATATGGAGATAACGTGTTTCCTACGTACGCCTTTGGGCGCTTGGTTTGTGTCGACCATATCTCTAGCTGCTCTATGCTTTGCTGTACATGGTTACGACCTTTATATAACCTTAACCTTAACCCTGATAACATTGAAGATGTGTACTGCAGATTTGTTCCACTTAGCCTCCCCCCTCGTCAGTTTCATTCTCCCCACCCAACCCCTCCAAACATTTGTACCCCCCCTCCCCCCCTTCCCCCGCAATTTCGATTGACCACCTCCCCGACATTTCGGTTCCTCAATCCCCCCCTTTCCCCCTCCCTCGTCAGTAGATCCCCCTTCCCCTTTTCCCCAGATTTCGCGCTTGCCAAGTCCCAACTCCCACCAACGATAGCCCCCCCCTTCCATTTCGTTTCGTGTGATTTGCCGCCCAACAAAATTTCTCGAGCCGCGTTTTACGTGTACTCTGGCCTTAACGACTTGATCTCCGAAATGCGTCAAGTGTTCCGCGCTCTAGCGCTCGATGGAGCTGTGAGAGTTCGTCGCACGCCCTTCCGCCCCGAACAGTGTTCGACCACCGACCGTCCTTGCCCACAGCTCGCATCTTGGTAACAGCGGCGAGTGCGCTGCGCAGCCATGAGCGGCGGCGGCAACGGCAGCAGCGACGGAGGCGGCGGAGGCGGCGCGGTGAGTGGCGAGGCTCGGCGCAGCGTGTGCAACGTGGGGTTCGCTGTGGAGGAGCTGCACGCGATGAGCTCCAACGACCTCATGGCGCTCGTGCAGCACGCGCTGCGAGATGCGCCACGTCGGACGGATAGCTTGCCACGTCAGACAGATAGCTTGCCACGTCAGCACAAACCGCCGGTGGACTTGCCGCCCATTCGCTTGTGGGACAAACGCAGCGGCGTGAGCACGCACGTAGGCGCCTCGGCCTTGCCCCTCTCCTTCCTTCCCGCGTCGCTTCCTTCCCCGTCCCTTCCCATCCAACACTCCCTCCACGCTTTTCTTGGCGCCTTATTGTCCCCCCGGGATTCACTACTCACCCCACTCCCTTCTGTTAAGTAGACTCAAAAGTCGTTTCGTAGGTTCTTTTCTCACCCGTGGATTGGAATGCATGCGTGGATTGGAATGCATGCGTGGATTGGAATGCATGCGTGGATTGGAATGCATGCGTGGATTGGAATGCATGCGTGGATTGGAATGCATGCGTGGATTGGAATGCATGCGTGGATTGGAATGCATGCGTGGATTGGAATGCATGCGTGGATTGGAATGCATGCGTGGATTGGAATGCATGCGTGGATTGGAATGCATGCGTGGATTGGAATGCATGCGTGCCATCCATGGGCATGCATGCCATCATGACATCATGTGAGCACACACATCAGGTGGACCTGCTTCTCCTCGCAGCATCACTGCCTCTCCACCTCCTCTCCTGCGCCACCCTCGCCCTGCAACACGCCCGCTCGCCCGATCCTCCTCCCTCCAACGTTCCGTCTCACACTCCCTCATCTCCTCCTCCCCCCAACGCCCCCGCACACACTCCCCCGTCTCCTCGTCCCTCCGCCAGCCCTCCCTGCCACTCTCACGGCGACCTCCCTCGGGCGAAGAGGGCGCGGCTGGAGGGGGCGGAAGGGGGGCGTGGGGAGGTGGTGGCCCAGGGAGGGGAGGCAGGCGGGATGGGGGGAGGCGGGATTGGGGGAGGAGGGATGGGGGAAAGGGGGATGGGGAGTGCAGAAGTGGGTGAAGGGCAGACAGAAGGGCGTGTGATGGGAGGGACGAGAATCAGAGGGGGGGGAGAGGCAATGGTGGAGGCAGACAGTAAGCAGGAGGAGCCGTGCAGTCGGGCCGAGGGTGGGGAGCGTGCATGGAGGCAGGCACAGGGCGAGGGGTGTGCTGTGGGTGAAGGGAAGGCAGCAGGTCGTGTGATGGGAGGGGCGGGAGAAGCGACAGTGGAGGCGGAGAGTAAGCAGGGGCGAGCAGGCGAGGGTGAGAGAGAGGGGGAGGTACCGTGCAGTCGGACAGAGGGTGGGGAGGAGTGCGAGCAGAGGCAGCCCAAACAAGCGAGTGATGTATCTACTGCTGGTCGTGGTGGTGTTGGTGGTGGTGGTGCCAGAGATGTAACAGCAGTTGCACCTGCTTCTGCTGCAGCTCTTAGAGATGTAACCGTACTTTCTTCTCCTCCTGTTGAAGGTGTACGTGTTGCGGCTTGTATGTCTGGGGAGAGAGACTTTTCTGCAATCACGGGTGCTGAAGATATTGCAGTGCCTGCTGCTGTTACCCATGATGTGACAGGAGATGATGCTGCCAACGATGAAACGGGAGGTGGTGCTGCCAAAGATGAAACGGGAGGTGGTGCTGCCAAAGTTGAAACGGGAGGTGGTGCTGCCAAAGTTGAAACGGGAGGTGGTGCTTCCAAAGATGAAACGGAATCCGGTGCTTCTGAAGATGAAACGGGAGGTGGTGGTGCTGCTGTGAAAGATGTAATAACAGTTGCTGCTGCCAAAGAAGTAACAGCTGCTGCTGTTGGAGCTGCAACAGCGGAACCTTCTGCTGTGGTTTGTGCTAACACAGACACCACCGCTCACACCACTGCCACAACCCCCACTGCCACAGCCCCCATTGCTACAGCCCCCATTGCTACAGCCCCCATTCCTACAGCCCCCATTGCTACAGCCACCACTGCTACAGCCACCGCACCATCTGCACCCCAAGCAACCGCACCCCACATTGAGTCACCCACCACCAATGGCTCCTTCCAGCCTCCTGAGTGCGGCAGCGCCCCCCTGGCAGTGACCATCTGGCACGGGACGCGAGTGGCTAGAGTGGCGTGGTGGGGGCAGCAGCAGGGCGGGCACACGCACGTGGCAGGCACTGGTGGTGGGGAGGTGCTTCAAGGGGACGCAGGAGGGAGTGGTGGCGACGGTAGTGGAGAGAAGGGGAGAAAGGGTGGGGGTGGCGTGGCGAGTGTTGAGGGTGAGAAAGGTGGGAAAGGGGAGGGGGGAGGAGGTGATGAAGGGGGTGAGAGGGAGGATGTGAGATCTGGTGTGCAGTGCGGGGGTGGAGAGGGGAGGGGAGGCGAGGAGGAGGGGGTTGATCGGGAGGGAGGGGCGAGGGGGAGGATGGAAGGGAAGGTGGATGCAGGCAGAGAGAGGCAGAAGCAGGAGAGTGCGGAGGTGGAGGGGAGGGCTGTTGAGGGGGTGAGTGACGTGAGTGTGAAGGACGGTGTTTTCACCATCAGCAGAAGCAGCACAGCTACAGTGGGGTGGCTTTTGAGACAAGTGGAGCACGATGGGGGAGCGAATAGAGCGGAGCGGGTTGAAGGCGGGGAGGAGGAGGGAGAGAGGAGAGGCGAGAAGAGAAGGTGTGGAGTGGAGCAGGGGGAGGGAGGGGAGCAGAAGAACAGGAAGACGAGGAGAGTGGAGGGCCAGGGGAACAGGCTGGAAGACGGGAGGGAGAAGGGCGATGGGATGGCTGCAAGGGAGCGGTGTGGGATGGCTTTGGAGGTGGGGCTGGGAGGCGAGCGAGGAGGGGAGGTGTGGCTGACGCACGTGGCCAAGGGGGTGCGCCTGCTGCACTCGCTGTGCGACCTCGCTACCCACATGCCCCGCCTGCACCAGGTGTGTGTGCGTGTGTGTGCGCGTGTGTGTGTGCGCCCGCGCGTGCATGAACCTTCATGTGGGCATGTGTGGGCGTATGTGGTCGTGTGTTTGCATGTGCGGGCATGTGCGGGCATGTGCGGGCATGTGCGGGCATGTGCGGGCATGTGTGGGCATGTGTGGGCATGTGTGGGCATGTGTGGGCATGTGTGGGCATGTGTGGGCATGTGCAGGCATGTTTTGTGGCCATTCAACTGTGACCTGCCCTGTTCTGTGCTGCCAATCTCCTTATGGTGCTCGTAAATCTGCAAATCCCCTTGCTTGACCTATCTTGTCAGGTCTTGGGTTCTTGCCATGTGCGCTGGACGTACCAATACTCGTGCAGTGTTAGCATGCAAAAGAGAGCAGCCCATTATATGTCCAGTTGCTTGCACGTGGTGCGATGTGGTGCACTGGGGTGCGGTATGGTTGGCCATCTAAACCCCGCTTCGTGCTCAACCTGACACCCACCGTTGTGTGCCCCTGTCCTGCCCGTGACTCCCCTACCCTCACTCACACCACCCCCTTCCACTCCCCAGGTGCTCTTGGTGAGCACGAGTGTGCGGCGCCACATGCTGGACCTCGTCGTGCTGCTTACTGTCGCCCTCGCCCTCGCTGCGCCACACCAGGTGGGTACCAGCCAGGCATGCCATCGCACCCAGTGGGTACCAGCCAGGCATGCCGTCGCACCCAGTGGCTTCCGCTTCCGCTTCAACTCCCCTGCCAGCTCCCCTTGCGCTTGCTACGTCACACAACGCTCCCTTTCCGCTCTTCCTATGCTGCCTGCCAACCACCCGATCATCCATGTGCTTGCAAAGGAACCTCCCCTCCCCCCTCTCATGATAGTCTGAACTGTTCTGCTATGCAATCTACACCTCGTCATGCCACGCTCTCTCATGCCGCACTCTTTCGTGTCGCTCTGTCTTCCCCCTCCTGTCCCCCGTGGCAGCAACTGGATGTGGGGGTCAGGGGGGGAGGAATGAAGTGTGGTGGTGGCAGCAGTGGTAGTGGTGGCAGGAACGACCATGATGGTGCAGGGAGTGGCAGCAGCAGAGACGGTGAGGGAGATGGTGGAAGGGTGGAAGCAGCAGCAGTAGGAGCAGCAGGCGGGGGAGTAAGGGGGTGCGAGCAGGCACAGGTGGCAGGCTGTGGTGGTGCTGCCACAAGTGCTGGTGATGCTGGTGATGCTGGTGGTGCTGGTGGTGCTGGTGGTGCTGGTGGTGCTGGTGGTGCTGGTGGTGCTGGTGGTGCTGGTGGTGCTGGTGGTGCTGGTGGTGCTGGTGGTGCTGGTGGTGCTGGTGCTGCTGGTGGTGCTGGTGCTGCTGGTGGTGCTGGTGCTGCTGGTGGTGCTGGTGCTGCTGGTGGTGCTGGTGGTGCTGGTGGTGCTAACACCCGCAGGGCTGCTCCTGATGGTAGCGGAGGGCAGGGGGGTGAGGGGTCAGCTGCTGCTGCAAGGGAAGGCGAAGCAGGCACCGGCAGCAAGTGTGGGGAGGGCACTGGGGGGGATGCACAGAATAGCATGGGGGTTGTGGGTGGCAGTAGTGGCATGCAGGAGGCAAGAGGCGTGGATGCAGTGACGAGTGCAGCTGGTAAAGCAAGGGCAGGTGAGGCAGCGAGGGCAGGTGAGGCAGCGAGGGCAGGTGAGGCAGCAAGGGCAGGTGAGGCAGCGAGGGCAGGTGAGGCAGCGAGGGCAGGTGAGGCAGCGAGGGCAGGTGAGGCAGCGAGGGCAGGTGAGGCAGCGAGGGCAGGTGAGGCAGCGAGGGCAGGTGAGGCAGCGAGGGCAGGTGAGGCAGCGAGGGCAGGTGAGGCAGCGAGGGCAGGTGAGGCAGCGAGGGCAGGTGAGGCAGCGAGGGCAGGTGAGGCAGCGAGGGCAGGTGAGGCAGCGAGGGCAGGTGAGGCAGCGAGGGCAGGTGAGGCAGCGAGGGCAGGTGAGGCAGCGAGGGCAGGTGAGGCAGCGAGGGCAGGTGAGGCAGCGAGGGCAGGTGAGGCAGCGAGGGCAGGTGAGGCAGCGAGGGCAGGTGAGGCAGCGAGGGCAGGTGAGGCAGCGAGGGCAGGTGAGGCAGCGAGGGCAGGTGAGGCAGCGAGGGCAGGTGAGGCAGCGAGGGCAGATGGTGAAACGGGCAAGGGTGATGAGGCATGCACGATGGGAGGAGAGGCAGGAGGGGAGAACGGTGGAGAGACGAAGGTAGCATCAGGAGATGCAGCAATCAAAGATGCAGCAGTGGGGGAGGCGGCAGTGGGGGGAGCAGCACTGTATGCGGGAACGGTGGCATCGTGCTTGTACCTGCTGCCCGCCTTCGTCACCCCTGACTGGATCGACACTTGCTCCGTGCTCGCCCTGCACCCCCTGGTATGTTGAAACCTCTTTGAAACCCCCTGGTAAGTGATTTCAACATGACTAGATCGACACATGTGCCGTTCTTGCGCTGCACCCCATGCTCCCTCTGTGGCTCTGCCCGTGTGTGTGCTCCCTCTGCCCGCATGCTCCCTCTTCCCGTGTGCTCCCTCTGCCCCTATGTTCCCTTTTACACCCTACGCTCCCGTCGTCACCATTCTCCCTTTGCGATCCTGTCGCTGTCCCTCGCCCCATGCACCCATCCACCGCCCATCCAACCATGCACCCACCCATCCCTCCTTCATCCCATCCACCCATCCCTCCTTCATCCCATCCACCCATCCCTCCTTCCCACCAATCCACCCATCCATCCTCCCACCCATCCCCATCCCTCCTCCTACCCATGCACCTACCCATCCCTCCTCTTACCCATACACCTACCATCCCTCCTCCTACCCATGCACCTACCCATCCCTCCTCCTACCCATACACCTACCATCCCTCCTCCTACCCATACACCTACCATCCCTCCTCCTACCCATACACCTACCATCCCTCCTCCTACCCATACACCTAACATCCCTCCTCCTACCCATGCGCCTACCCATCCCGCCCAGGTGGGGGCCTTCCTGCAGGCGGCCTTCTCAGCCGTCACCACCGCCTTCGTCCTGCTGCACTCGCTGCTCTCGCCCTCCCTTGCCGCCTTCACACATGCGGGCAGGGGGTTGGTTGGAAGGAGGGATGGGGGGAGGGATGCGGGCGGGGATGAAGGGAGGGCATGGCAAGAGGGCGGTGTGGAGTGGGGCAAGGTGCAGGGGGTGGTGCGGCAGTGCGAGGCGGCTCTGCAGGTGCTGCACGTGCTGTGCCGCGCTGATGGGCTGGGCGCCCTGCTGCTGCACCACCAGGTGCGTGTGTGGGTTTGCCAGTAGGTGCGCAACTGTGCAGTGGTACCAGGGTGTAGAGGTCAGAAGCCATCAATAAGCTCCCAATCTCCCCCACACATGCGGAATGTGCTCACTCCGTGTCGGTTCATCTGCGCCATGTGCACATGGCTTGCTGTGCCCATGCAACCCAACTATGGGCCCACATTTTCCCCTACGCGCACTCATCCTGAAGCCACCACATTTTCCCCCTATCCATCTGCTCTCCTCTCCTTTCCTCCCCCTTCCCATGTCAGGACCTCATCCACGGCGGGGCTTTCCTTCGCCTGCTCCTCTCTGTCCTCCGCTTGCCCCTCCCCGCCCTCCTCCCTCCGCCTCTCCCCCCTCTCCCTTGCCCGCCTTCCAACCCCACTCATCCCTTCATCTCCTCTCCCCTTCCCTCCGCCTCCCCCTCCGATGGCCCGTCACGCCAAGCCGTGCCGCCAGAGGCCCTGGTGGCGGCCATTTCTCGCTGCAAGAGCCGAGCCATTCAGATGGTCTGTCTCGTGCTGCCGCTGCGGTTGACTGTGCTGTGAATCCTGGGGTGCTGTTTGGTGATTGTATTCCGCATGTTCTGTTCTCTTTCCATCTTAGAAGTTCGAAGCGCACTCATGTTCATTGACTTTTCTGTTGCAACCATGCCTTCTTGCGTCCCTCACTTCCTCCCGTCTCCCCTCATGTCACCTTCCTCACTCCCTCCTTCACTCGCTCCCTCACCCATTCCCCTCCGCCCGTGGCAGTTCCTCACAGTCAGTGAGGCAGACGGCTCTACCTTTCTGGATGACGTGGCAGCCAATCCAGCCTCGTTACAGCTGGCGCACAGTGTAACAAAAGAGGTATCGTGCGTGTCACTCTGTGTGTTCACAAGAGAGCACAGCTCTGTTCGCTTCTTTCAAGCTCCAACCACCGTTTGCCTGCCTGTACCACTCTCAGATGCTTCATGCACATGCCCTCCATCCCACGCGACTCACCTGCATCTTCTGCATTCTCTTCCCAAACACTCCTCAACCTGCCCCAACACCCGTGCCCACTCCCTCCCCCCAGATCCTCTCACTCCTGCACGCCACTGCCATTGCCAACATTGACCTCACAGCTCGCCTCCTCTCCCACCCCACACCCTCCTCCTCCTCTTGCACCTCCTTCCCCCCACCACACGCGCCTCTCCCCTGTGGGCGGCTAAGTGTGAACGTGCTGCGGGCAGCGGAGGTGCTATCAGACGACTCCAGCTTCCGCCCCTTCTTCATGCTGCACGCCGTGCGTTGCCATGCCCCCACTCCCACATGCCAACATGCCCACATGCCTACATGCCTCTGGCCCTCTGCCCACGTGCTTATGCCCACATGCCCCTTTTTCCCTATGATACCCCTCACATTCCCGTGCCCACCTGCCTGTGCTCTACACGCCTCAGCTTTTCACTTATTCCACTGTATGGCATGGTGCACACTGTATGGCATGGTGCACACTGTATGGCATGGTGCACACTGTATGGCATGGTGCACACTGTATGGCATGGTGCACACTGTATGGCATGGTGCACACTGTATGGCATGGTGCACACTGTATGGCATGGTGCACACTGTATGGCATGGTGCACACTGTATGGCATGGTGCACACTGTATGGCATGGTGCACACTGCATGGCATGGTGCACACTGCATGGCATGGTGCACACTGTATGGCATGGTGCACACTGTATGGCATGGTGCACACTGTATGGCATGGTGCACACTGTATGGCATGGTGCACACTGTATGGCATGGTGCACACTGCATGGCATGGTGCACACTGTATGGCATGGTGCACACTGTATGGCATGGTGCACACTGTATGGCATGGTGCACACTGTATGGCATGGTGCACACTGTATGGCATGGTGCACACTGTATGGCATGGTGCTAAAGGTGTAAACGAATACCAGCATATTCGTATTCGTATTCGGTATTCGACAAATACCAAATAAAAAACGAATACGAAATCACTGCCTATTCGACTTTTATTCGATAACTGACTATTCGACATATTCGGAATTCGCCAGCCGAATATTCGGATATTCGTATAAGTATTCGACTATTTCAATCGGTATGCTCCTAGATTTCTGAAGGTTCGTTTCTTATGTTTCACTCATATCATCAGCAATGGAAGCACCGGCAGTGCTTATGGCCTATTAAGAACCCTGACCCAAGGTTCTGTGTATGGTAAAAACCGTATTCGTATTCGTATTTGACACAGATCCAGGTATTCGAACAGTATTCGTGAACCAGCTATTTGAACCGTACTCGGATTCGGTAGAAGAGGGCTATTCGGCCAAATACGAAATTGCCTACTACTCGTAAAATATTCGTATAAAAAACCGTATTCGAAACCGTATTCGTTTTTACACCTTTACATGGTGCACACTGCATGGCATGGTGCACACTGCATGGCATGGTGCACACTGCATGGCATGGTGCACACTGTATGGCATGGTGCACACTGTATGGCATGGTGCACACTGCATGGCATGGTGCACACTGCATGGCATGGTGCACACTCCATGGCATGGTGCACACTGCATGGCATGGTGCACACTGCATGGCATGGTGCACACTGTATGGCATGGTGCACACTGTATGGCATGGTGCACACTGTATGGCATGGTGCACACTGTATGGCATGGTGCACACTGTATGGCATGGTGCACACTGCATGGCATGGTGCACACTGCATGGCATGGTGCACACTGTATGGCATGGTGCACACTGCATGGCATGGTGCACACTGCATGGCATGGTGCACACTGCATGGCATGGTGCACACTGCATGGCATGGTGCACACTGTATGGCATGGTGCACACTGCATGGCATGGTGCACACTGTATGGCATGGTGCACACTGTATGGCATGGTGCACACTGTATGGCATGGTGCACACTGTATGGCATGGTGCACACTGTATGTATGGCATGGTGCACACTGTATGTATGGCATGGTGTACACTGCATGGCATGGTGCACACTGCATGGCATGGTGCACACTGTATGGCATGGTGCACACTGTATGGCATGGTGCACACTGCATGGCATGGTGCACACTGCATGGCATGGTGCACACTCCATGGCATGGTGCACACTGCATGGCATGGTGCACACTGCATGGCATGGTGCACACTGTATGGCATGGTGCACACTGTATGGCATGGTGCACACTGTATGGCATGGTGCACACTGTATGGCATGGTGCACACTGTATGGCATGGTGCACACTGCATGGCATGGTGCACACTGCATGGCATGGTGCACACTGTATGGCATGGTGCACACTGCATGGCATGGTGCACACTGCATGGCATGGTGCACACTGCATGGCATGGTGCACACTGCATGGCATGGTGCACACTGTATGGCATGGTGCACACTGCATGGCATGGTGCACACTGTATGGCATGGTGCACACTGTATGGCATGGTGCACACTGTATGGCATGGTGCACACTGTATGGCATGGTGCACACTGTATGTATGGCATGGTGCACACTGTATGTATGGCATGGTGTACACTGCATGGCATGGTGCACACTGCATGGCATGGTGCACACTGTATGGCATGGTGCACACTGTATGGCATGGTGCACACTGTATGGCATGGTGCACACTGCATGGCATGGTGCACACTGCATGGCATGGTGCACACTCCATGGCATGGTGCACACTGCATGGCATGGTGCACACTGCATGGCATGGTGCACACTGTATGGCATGGTGCACACTGTATGGCATGGTGCACACTGTATGGCATGGTGCACACTGTATGGCATGGTGCACACTGTATGGCATGGTGCACACTGCATGGCATGGTGCACACTGCATGGCATGGTGCACACTGTATGGCATGGTGCACACTGCATGGCATGGTGCACACTGCATGGCATGGTGCACACTGCATGGCATGGTGCACACTGCATGGCATGGTGCACACTGTATGGCATGGTGCACACTGCATGGCATGGTGCACACTGTATGGCATGGTGCACACTGTATGGCATGGTGCACACTGTATGGCATGGTGCACACTGTATGGCATGGTGCACACTGTATGTATGGCATGGTGCACACTGTATGTATGGCATGGTGTACACTGCATGGCATGGTGCACACTGCATGGCATGGTGCACACTGTATGGCATGGTGCACACTGCATGGCATGGTGCACACTGCATGGCATGGTGCACACTGCATGGCATGGTGCACACTGCATGGCATGGTGCACACTGCATGGCATGGTGCACACTGTATGGCATGGTGCACACTGCATGGCATGGTGCACACTGTATGGCATGGTGCACACTGTATGGCATGGTGCACACTGTATGGCATGGTGCACACTGTATGGCATGGTGCACACTGTATGTATGGCATGGTGCACACTGTATGTATGGCATGGTGTACACTGCATGGCATGGTGCACACTGCATGGCATGGTGCACACTGTATGGCATGGTGCACACTGTATGGCATGGTGCACACTGCATGGCATGGTGCACACTGCATGGCATGGTGCACACTCCATGGCATGGTGCACACTGCATGGCATGGTGCACACTGCATGGCATGGTGCACACTGTATGGCATGGTGCACACTGTATGGCATGGTGCACACTGTATGGCATGGTGCACACTGTATGGCATGGTGCACACTGTATGGCATGGTCCACACTGCATGGCATGGTACACACTGCATGGCATGGTGCACACTGTATGGCATGGTGCACACTGCATGGCATGGTGCACACTGCATGGCATGGTGCACACTGCATGGCATGGTGCACACTGCATGGCATGGTGCACACTGTATGGCATGGTGCACACTGCATGGCATGGTGCACACTGTATGGCATGGTGCACACTGTATGGCATGGTGCACACTGTATGGCATGGTGCACACTGTATGGCATGGTGCACACTGTATGTATGGCATGGTGCACACTGTATGTATGGCATGGTGTACACTGCATGGCATGGTGCACACTGCATGGCATGGTGCACACTGTATGGCATGGTGCACACTGTATGGCATGGTGCACACTGTATGGCATGGTGCACACTGCATGGCATGGTGCACACTGCATGGCATGGTGCACACTCCATGGCATGGTGCACACTGCATGGCATGGTGCACACTGCATGGCATGGTGCACACTGTATGGCATGGTGCACACTGTATGGCATGGTGCACACTGTATGGCATGGTGCACACTGTATGGCATGGTGCACACTGTATGGCATGGTGCACACTGCATGGCATGGTGCACACTGCATGGCATGGTGCACACTGTATGGCATGGTGCACACTGCATGGCATGGTGCACACTGCATGGCATGGTGCACACTGCATGGCATGGTGCACACTGCATGGCATGGTGCACACTGTATGGCATGGTGCACACTGCATGGCATGGTGCACACTGTATGGCATGGTGCACACTGTATGGCATGGTGCACACTGTATGGCATGGTGCACACTGTATGGCATGGTGCACACTGTATGTATGGCATGGTGCACACTGTATGTATGGCATGGTGTACACTGCATGGCATGGTGCACACTGCATGGCATGGTGCACACTGTATGGCATGGTGCACACTGCATGGCATGGTGCACACTGTATGGCATGGTGCACACTGCATGGCATGGTGCACACTGCATGGCATGGTGCACACTGCATGGCATGGTGCACACTGTATGGCATGGTGCACACTGCATGGCATGGTGCACACTGTATGGCATGGTGCACACTGTATGGCATGGTGCACACTGTATGGCATGGTGCACACTGTATGGCATGGTGCACACTGTATGTATGGCATGGTGCACACTGTATGTATGGCATGGTGTACACTGCATGGCATGGTGCACACTGCATGGCATGGTGCACACTGTATGGCATGGTGCACACTGTATGGCATGGTGCACACTGCATGGCATGGTGCACACTGCATGGCATGGTGCACACTCCATGGCATGGTGCACACTGCATGGCATGGTGCACACTGCATGGCATGGTGCACACTGTATGGCATGGTGCACACTGCATGGCATGGTGCACACTGTATGGCATGGTGCACACTGTATGGCATGGTGCACACTGTATGGCATGGTGCACACTGTATGGCATGGTGCACACTGTATGTATGGCATGGTGCACACTGTATGTATGGCATGGTGTACACTGCATGGCATGGTGCACACTGCATGGCATGGTGCACACTGTATGGCATGGTGCACACTGCATGGCATGGTGCACACTGTATGGCATGGTGCACACTGCATGGCATGGTGCACACTGCATGGCATGGTGCACACTGCATGGCATGGTGCACACTGTATGGCATGGTGCACACTGCATGGCATGGTGCACACTGTATGGCATGGTGCACACTGTATGGCATGGTGCACACTGTATGGCATGGTGCACACTGTATGGCATGGTGCACACTGTATGTATGGCATGGTGCACACTGTATGTATGGCATGGTGTACACTGCATGGCATGGTGCACACTGCATGGCATGGTGCACACTGTATGGCATGGTGCACACTGTATGGCATGGTGCACACTGCATGGCATGGTGCACACTGCATGGCATGGTGCACACTCCATGGCATGGTGCACACTGCATGGCATGGTGCACACTGCATGGCATGGTGCACACTGTATGGCATGGTGCACACTGTATGGCATGGTGCACACTGTATGGCATGGTGCACACTGTATGGCATGGTGCACACTGTATGGCATGGTGCACACTGCATGGCATGGTGCACACTGCATGGCATGGTGCACACTGTATGGCATGGTGCACACTGCATGGCATGGTGCACACTGCATGGCATGGTGCACACTGCATGGCATGGTGCACACTGCATGGCATGGTGCACACTGTATGGCATGGTGCACACTGCATGGCATGGTGCACACTGTATGGCATGGTGCACACTGTATGGCATGGTGCACACTGTATGGCATGGTGCACACTGTATGGCATGGTGCACACTGTATGTATGGCATGGTGCACACTGTATGTATGGCATGGTGTACACTGCATGGCATGGTGCACACTGCATGGCATGGTGCACACTGTATGGCATGGTGCACACTGTATGGCATGGTGCACACTGTATGGCATGGTGCACACTGCATGGCATGGTGCACACTGCATGGCATGGTGCACACTCCATGGCATGGTGCACACTGCATGGCATGGTGCACACTGCATGGCATGGTGCACACTGTATGGCATGGTGCACACTGTATGGCATGGTGCACACTGTATGGCATGGTGCACACTGTATGGCATGGTGCACACTGCATGGCATGGTGCACACTGCATGGCATGGTGCACACTGTATGGCATGGTGCACACTGCATGGCATGGTGCACACTGCATGGCATGGTGCACACTGCATGGCATGGTGCACACTGCATGGCATGGTGCACACTGTATGGCATGGTGCACACTGCATGGCATGGTGCACACTGTATGGCATGGTGCACACTGTATGGCATGGTGCACACTGTATGGCATGGTGCACACTGTATGGCATGGTGCACACTGCATGGCATGGTGCACACTGCATGGCATGGTGCACACTGTATGGCATGGTGCACACTGCATGGCATGGTGCACACTGCATGGCATGGTGCACACTGCATGGCATGGTGCACACTGCATGGCATGGTGCACACTGTATGGCATGGTGCACACTGCATGGCATGGTGCACACTGTATGGCATGGTGCACACTGTATGGCATGGTGCACACTGTATGGCATGGTGCACACTGTATGGCATGGTGCACACTGTATGTATGGCATGGTGCACACTGTATGTATGGCATGGTGTACACTGCATGGCATGGTGCACACTGCATGGCATGGTGCACACTGTATGGCATGGTGCACACTGCATGGCATGGTGCACACTGTATGGCATGGTGCACACTGTATGGCATGGTGCACACTGTATGGCATGGTGCACACTGTATGGCATGGTGCACACTGTATGTATGGCATGGTGCACACTGTATGTATGGCATGGTGTACACTGCATGGCATGGTGCACACTGCATGGCATGGTGCACACTGTATGGCATGGTGCACACTGCATGGCATGGTGCACACTGCATGGCATGGTGCACACTGTATGGCATGGTGCACACTGCATGGCATGGTGCACACTGCATGGCATGGTGCACACTGCATGGCATGGTGCACACTGCATGGCATGGTGCACACTGTATGGCATGGTGCACACTGCATGGCATGGTGCACACTGTATGGCATGGTGCACACTGTATGGCATGGTGCACACTGTATGGCATGGTGCACACTGTATGGCATGGTGCACACTGTATGTATGGCATGGTGCACACTGTATGTATGGCATGGTGTACACTGCATGGCATGGTGCACACTGCATGGCATGGTGCACACTGTATGGCATGGTGCACACTGCATGGCATGGTGCACACTGCATGGCATGGTGCACACTGCATGGCATGGTGCACACTGCATGGCATGGTGCACACTGCATGGCATGGTGCACACTTTACATGCCAACTTGCCCTTCATGTCCCGTACTGTGCTCTTTCATTCACAGATGCCTCTTCTTTCGCCCCTGAACAAATATGCTGCAACTACGAATTTCTGCATGTTTTTACTCCACTTGTTCCCATGCCCACATGACTGTGATCTTTCCTCTTCTCTGCAAATGCTGAACAACCCAACACATCCCTCGCCATGCCTCCCCTGCAGGCGCCTCCTCTCGTGCGCATCCTCCCCCTCGCCAACATGCTTTCAAATCGCGATGCCAGCACAGACTGCTCACAATGAACCCCCATTTATTCACTCCCTCTCTGCTACCCCTCTCCACCCCTCCCCACCACCTTCCCTACAGGCACCTCTTCTCGTGCGTCTGCTCGCCCTCCCCTCACCTGCCTTCACCTCACGCTGGCTACACGGCCCGCTCACGCGCGCCCTTGCCGCCCGAGAGGTCGACGCCTTTGTCCTCTTCCGCCCCTTCCCCTCCCTCGGCCTCGCTCTCCATCTCACCCACTCACGCTTGCACAGCCTCAACCGCTCTACCTCACCCTTGCACCGCCTCTCTGCGGCCGCTCCTGCTGTGTTGTCCCATGGGGAGGAGAAAAAGAAGGCGGGTGAAGGGGCGGAAAACGGCAGGAGTGGGCTGATTGGAGTTGAGGATTCGACGGAGACGCTTTCTTCTGGCCCGTTCTCGTTTTCTGAGGGAGGGCTTGTGGCTGCAACGAGGGCGGCTTATAAGGAGGCAGCTGGGTCAAAAAGCCACAGTGGCAGCAGGGGCGAGAGAGGGAGGGGGGTTGGTGTGGGAGATGGCACAAGTGCTGGGAAGCTTCGAGGAAACTTTCAGTTTTGCCGAGTTGATGAACAGATGGTGGGAAGGAAGAGAAAGGAGAAGGGCGAGAACAAGAGTGAGAAAAGGAAGCGAGGGAGTGAGGGAGGGAAGGAAGAGAGTGACTGGGCGGAGGGAGTGATCTGGCTGGAGGGAGGGGAGGGTGGGGCAGCTGCAGAGGCAGACGGAGTGAGTGGGTGGGCGTCGAATGGGGGAGCAGCGAAGGCGCAGGGAGGAGGGAGGAGTGGGGTGGGAAGGGGAGCGGGGGAAGAGGGTGGAGGTGCGGGTGGAGGTGCCGGGGGCGAGGGCGGGGTGGGGAGTGGGTGGCAGAGCGTGGTGCTGCTGGTGAAGCTCTTCGCCAATCTGCACTGCTTTGACCCCAACCTCTGCCCTGGTGCGCTGCTCTGCTCGCCCCTCGGCCCTGCTGTCCTTGCTTGCTAATTTCGCCTCTCTCTAGAATCAGGATGCTGGTTCCTGCTGCTTTGCACCCTGCCTTCCCCGCAACACAAATGTCCATTCCCGCCTTCCCCGCAACACAAATGTCCATTCCCGCCTGACCTCACCGCAACATGTGCATCCACAACTCTCTCCTCTCTACTGTGTTGCTCATATGTGGAAGCATATGTACGCGAAAGACCGCGTGCTATTCCATACGTACCTCCTCCCACCCCTCGACGTCCCCCCCACCCCACCAGGCGAGCAGCGCCATCAGTCCCTCAACCTCGTTGTCTCTGCCATCCGCCACCAGGAACCCTTCCCGCCCGCACCTGGGGAGGGCGCAGCTGGAGAGGGCGCAGCTGGGGAGGGCGCAGCTGGGGAGGGCGCACCGCATGGGGGCGGCAGCGACAAGGTGGCAGAAAGGGAGGGGCAGAGGGGGCGAGAAGAGGCAGAGGCGGCAGTGGGCATGTGTGAGAACTTGTGTGAGTCACGGCATGCCATGGCATGGCATGGTGCTGTTGGTGCGGAGGTAACAAAGGGGTTACAAATAATGCTAGCGGGCGCATGTCATGGTCCATGGGTGTGGGAGGGTTGTGCTTGACTCATGTCATGGGGCTGAGGGTCATACCTGTGGCTCATGGGGGTAGTTGGGGTTGGGTTGAGTCAGGTGCAGGTGTCAAATGTATGTGCGAATGAGTGGCAGCTACTTCTAACACCCACGAGGGGAATGCGGTGCGGAGTGGTGTTTGTGGTTTGAGGGGGAAGTTAGCATGAGGTAAGGGAGGGGATGGAGGGAGGTGAGACGGCACTGGGTGAGTTGACGCATGGGCGTGGTGCGGGAGGATCGGACGAGGTGTGTGAGGAGGAGTGCTTTCTTTCGACCATCTCTCTTGCACGTCCTTCCCATGTCCTGCGAGTCTTTCTCTCGCCTCTCCCCCTCGGTCCGCCCCCCCCCCATCCTTCCACCCCTCCCTCTGCATCCACTCTTGCTTCCTTTCATCCTTACTCTTCTCACAACCCCTTTTTGTACGGCCTCTATCACATCCTTCCACCCACTCGTTCCGACCACGACCCCTCCCTGCCCCCGTCCATGCTTCCCTCCATGCTGGCCCCCTATGCCCCCCTGCATCCCCCTCTCAGATTCACTCATAGACTTCGCTGCCACCATGCCAGCGACCCATGTCAGCGATGACGACGTCATCCTCATCAGGTGCTGACGCCATTCCATGCAGTGGAGGCATCTGCTTTTGGCAGCCTCCCATGTCACAGGCCATGCATTTGGCTTTTGAGTCAACTCAAAATTCCTTCAGTTCTATCTCTACATGTCACAGGCCATGCATTTTCTCTCATACCGGTAACAATTGTCACGGGATGTTCTATTGCTTCTGGTTGACTGGCTGGTGCCAGTGCTGCGCTGTGCTGTGCTGTGCTGTGCTGCGCTGTGCTGTGCTGTGCTGTGCTGTGCTGTGCTGTGCTGTGCTGTGCTGTGCTGTGCTGTGCTGTGCTGCGCTGTGCTGTGCTGTGCTGTGCTGCGCTGTGCTGTGCTGTGCTGTGCTGTGCTGTGCCGTGCTGTGCTGTGCTGGATGTGGGCCTACTTGTGTGTGCCGGGGTGGTGAGTACATCTCCATGCATGTTCCATCCGTTTGGCCGTTTCTTGTGCTTGCCTCCGCCTCCCACCACTCAAGCCATCACCATGCGGCACTCCGCCATCCTCCCTCTCCCCTCTCTCTTCTCCCTCGCCGCAGTCAGTTCGCCAGTGCCCTGCACGCTGCCATCTGCCCCCACCCCTCGCCTCACCAGGTGAGCGCCTGCGCTGCTGGTGAGTGCATGTGCACATGCTATGCATGTCTGCTTGCACATACAGACTCTCAGCACTGCATGGACACATGCATGGCTGTTCTTGTAGAGTGGTGCCTGGACGGTGACACCACAAGGCAGAGGGACGGTGACACCACAAGGCAGAGGGACGGTGACACCACAAGGCAGAGGGACGCATGGCACATGAACCACTCCCTTCCCTGCACTCTGCCTTCCGTGCCTTGCACTGCCCACACCCTACCCCCTTCCGTGCCTTGCACTGCCCACACCCTACCCCCTTCCGTGCCTTGCACTGCCCACACCCTACCCCCTTCCGTGCCTTGCACTGCCCACACCCTACCCCCTTCCGTGCCTCGCACTGCCCACACCCTACCCCCTTCCGTGCCTTGCACTGCCCACACCCTACCCCCTTCCGTGCCTTGCTCTGCCCACACCCTACCCCCTTCCGTGCCTTGCACTGCCCACACCCTACCCCCTTCCGTGCCTTGCACTGCCCACACCCTACCCCCTTCCGTGCCTCGCACTGCCCACACCCTACCCCCTTCCGTGCCTTGCACTGCCCACACCCTACCCCCTTCCGTGCCTTGCTCTGCCCACACCCTACCCCCTTCCGTGCCTTGCACTGCCCACACCCTACCCCCTTCCGTGCCTTGCACTGCCCACACCCTACCCCCTTCCCCTCCTTCTCCTTCCACCCCTCCCCCTCCTCACCTTCCCCCTCCCACCTTCTCTTTGTGTGTTCGCTGTCAGCACGATGATGCGGGAGTGAAAGCGGTGGCGGAGCGGCACGGGGCATGGCTGGCTGCTTTACAGGGGAGGTGGGACGGGCAGGAGCGGTGGCAGCGACTGCAGCCGGCACATGAGGAGGAGGATGGCGGGGACGGGGGTGTGGAAGAGGCATAATGGGGATATGAGGCGGGTGTGCTGGCAGCAGCGCATGGTGTGGTGTGTGGTTGGGTACGCTGCAGGGAAGGTGGGACAGGCAGGAGCGGTGGCAGCGACTGCAGCGGCACGTGGGGAGGAGGAGGGTGATGAGGGTGGGGAGGAAGAGGCATGGGGGTGAGGTGGAGGAGGCATGACATGGGATTGCTGTGCTTGCTGCAACACATGATGCGTGGCTAGTGGTGCAAATGGGTGAGGGCGAGAGGTAGGCTGAGAGGACCAGAATGTGAAGGCTGGGTGGGAGGGAAGCAGAGGAGTGAATGCAGAGGAAGGAGTGGAAGGGCCAGTGCTGTAAGCCGTGGCTTACAGGCATTTCAAAGCCTGACAGCCTGCCATCTTTCTAGTCAATCACACAGTTCTGTTCACATTTCAGCTTGCCCCGAGGTGGGCTTGTCCTCAAGTGGTAGGAAGCTGCCCCTGGTTGTGAACCGCAGAAGTACTAATAGTTGTTGGAAACAATCGGTCTTAAGCGCCTCTGTCGTGTCGAAACACTAAGGCATAAATGAGGCAGAGCATATCGAAGCACCGGCGAGTCAACCCTCGGAGGTTGAAGTAACCGCTGGAGGTTACGGGAAGTCAAAGGTCAGCGACCTTTGACCTGACGAATATAGCGCGACAGCAAGGACACACAACTGACTCGCTACAGAGCAGTTGCCCGAGTCGTCACTGTATCGAACCGCAACAGCAACGGTAAAGTAGTTACAACCGTATCTCTTCGTATTCCTTGTACTCTTATATATATATTCTTGTATCTCTTTGTTTTAATTAACTTACTTTGCCCTCACATACTAGCGCAAGGTGGTTCACAACTCTTCAATTAACGCTTCCGCTAGTACACCAACTCTACCCAGAATTCACCCCTGCAAAGATCCTAAGGGCCTTTTTCAGCCCAACATGGTATCAGAGCTATCAGGGGGAATTCAACTTCTATATCGTCAACATCAACAGACATGGCTACACAAAAGGAAAGGAGCAACTCCAACGGCTCCCAGAGCACTACTCCTACTCTACCTCCTGCCTCTGGCCTACAGACAGAGGAGGGCACGGCAACAAGACCCAGAGCAACATCTACCGAGACTCCCGCGAATCAGCCTGCAAACTTCGACCAGAACATGATGGAGAAGTTCTTCTCCTTCATGTCCTTCTACGAGCAACACCAGCAATCGGCACCTGCGCAGTCACACAACAGCAACAACAACGGAGCAACACCCATGAGTCTCGACGGCTCATCATATGCACGAGGAAATCAACAACAGCAGCCTACCTTCGCTCCGTACGAACGCGGGTCCATCAGCTTTATGCCACACCCGCAACCTTCACCTGGACAAGAAAAATCACTGGACGCATTACAAGTTCAGTCGCAGTTCGCACACGTTCTGAAGTTGCAGACATCAAGACCATTCGACGGAAAGGACTTCTTCACCTGGTCGTTTGAATTCGAGCTGATGATGGAAGGCGCGCAGATACTTGGCTTCTTCGACGGGTCCCTGCCATACCCAACAAACGGCACACAGTACGAGAAGCAGCAGTACACCTATCAGTCAATGATGGCGTACACGATTCTACTGAGGAACATCACCCCGACTCAACAGCAGAACATACGATCTTACCGGGGCTACGGTAACTCCGCGGAGCTCGCGTACAACCACCTGAAGAGCCTGTATCAAGCAACAGACAGCGTAAGTCAAAGTCGGTTAATGGCGCAACTGACAACAGTTGAAATGAAACCGGGAGAAAAGGGAATGGCATATATCAGCCGCTGTCGCGAACTGCGCGACAAGCTCCTTCGATGCGGAGGGTCGATTTCTGAAGACGCCTTCGTGACAGTCATCATCGGCGGCCTCGGTCCTCAATGGCGCGCCACAAAGGCTATTCTCCGAGCACATGGAAGAATCTCCGAAGCAGCACTCTGCGCCGAAATCCACGCCGAGCAACAAGACATGGACCTGCAAGAAGAACGACACAAAAAGAAGATATCAGCACCGGAATTCGCGTTCCACACTCAGCGACGCTACAACAACAACAACAACCGGCAGCAACAACCGAAGCCAGTACCTCCGTTCTGCCACATCTGCAAAACTTCAGGACACCCGCGTACGCACTGCCCAAATCGCCAACAGTCAACAACTCCACATCGACAACTTCGACCTTCAAGCAGCCAAGTTGCCTCAACGCAAGCGAATTCCACGACCCAGATTCAAGCCTCAACGACTTCAACGGGACAACCTGCACAAGGAGCAAGAAACATCGTCAGCTGCATGGCAAAGCTGAGTAACTCCTGCATCACCGAGTCACCACCACACTACTCACCAGAAGAACAACTCGATGAAAGAACTCCATGCCGTGAAACACTGGAGCCGAATCCGACATACGCAGCTATTGCCCAGAGCGAACCATCCGGGAAGGACACGTGGTTCTTGGACAATTGCTGCGGACAGCACATGTGTTCTTCGGGACGCTTCGTTCAACGAGAACACCAACTTCAACGCGAAGTCGTCATTACAGTCGCCAACAATCAGAACCTGCGAACACGACGACAAGGCATAGTCCAACTTCAGTCAAGGGAAACAAACGTTATACTGCAGATGTCAAAAGTACTAATCGCGGAGGGACTCGGCTACAACTTACTGAGCGTCAGTCAGCTAATGGCGAAAGGGATTCACCTCGAAGCAGACAGCACCACCCAAGAATTCAAACTGTATCACGGGAGAGGAGGACTTTACATCGGCAAGGCGGTCCTCAAGAACAACGTCTTCGTTCTTGACTTCGTTCCTGATCTTGGCACCGCCGACAGCGACGCCATCGTTAACTTCACCAACTGGACACACCCTCCAGTCCTTGATCCAGACTTCAGTCCTGGCGGTTTCTGGTATTCACACACCATCCCTGAGGCAGAAAGAACAAGGGCGTTAGCAACAATTCAGACAACATCGGCAGCAGCAGAGACAACATCAGCAGCAGCAGAGACAACATCGGCAACAGCAGAAACATCAACGGTAGCAGCAACGTCAACACCAATCGCTGGTCCTTCAACAGCACCGCCCCTCACCGACGACACACCACCGACACCTGCGCAACAACTACACCCAGCACCACGAGAAGTTCATCGTAGCGCCAACCTCACCGCCAACTTCTATTCCAACTCCGATCTGTATCGACGATCACCCGGACATCGCGCCGACGAAAGCACCTGGCACGCAAGGATGGGACACCCAAGCAACACAGTATTAAACAATACGATAAGAGCAGGAGTACTTGACAAGGACTCACTTCTACTGACCGACGGAAGAGAACTTCAACGAGTACGCGGAACGTGCTTCACCTGCCCTGAAGCTGACTTACCACATCGACCGTTCGCGTCTCACCACAACCCAAGCGCACCAGCTTACGCGCCACTCGAGAAGGTGTACAGCGACATCCTGTACAATCGCGAGCCGGGGCAGAATGCGTACAACTACACCATCACGTTCATCGACGCCGCGACACGTTACGTTTGGCACCTGAATCTTCCAAGCAGAGACATGGCGTTCGAAGCGTTCGTCGCGTGGCTTCCAGTAGCAGAACGAGAATCGGGCGTCAAGCTGAAAAGCTTTCAGTCAGACGGGGGAGGAGAATACACCTCACAAAGGTTCAAGCAGTACCTGGCAGAGAGAGGAATCAAGCGGCTCATTTCCCTTCCCTACGCCCATCAACAGCAGGGTGTAGCAGAGAGGATGAACAGGACACTCCAGAACACCATGCGGAAACTGTTACGTGGCATGCGGCTACCCACCCACCAGTGGCCAGAAGCAATGGACCACGCCGTGATGCTGCACAACTTGCTTTCTTCGTCGTCACTGCCGAACAACACATCACCGCATCTGCTGTGGACAGGAAAACTGGGCAGCACAAAAATGTTACGAGTCTTCGGCTGCATGGTACAGTACCGACCTCCATCTGCACGAGCAGGACGATTCTCCCAACGAGCACAGTGGGGACTACACCTGGGCATTGAAAAACACTACAACGCATGGAAGATTTTCGACGTCGAGACAAAAGAAACAGTGGCAGCACGTGATGTCATTTTCTACGAGCGGCTCACCTTGCGAACGTACCTTGCCAACCTGGACGAAAACCAAGACCCCACAGGTGGCTTCCGAGGAGACCGAGCCTTCGCATCGGCAGAAGACGAAGCTGACTGGGACGAGCAGAACGTGGAAGGAGCCTCGGAAGAAGCCGGACCCCTCCCGTACTGCTCCGTCGATGTCCCAATGGATGACGAAAATCCACGCGAAAGTAACAACGCCGAAGTCTTTTACCACTTCGCCGACAACGGTTACGTTACACCTGCACAAGTCAACACCGACGAAGCAGAACGCGTAGGACCTAATTTCGCACCTGATCAAGAAGCGGGAGACGAAGCAGTTTATCCAGAGGACACTTCACTCCCCCGCTACACACAGAGTGGGCTCCAAATCCTTGGACTCGTCACCGCAGTCCACGGCACCGCCATTCCTAAAGAGCCTGCGACAGTTCAACAGGCTCTGGGGGGAGAGCATAAGGAAAAATGGCGCGAAGCCATGGACAAGGAGCTGAAGGCACTGGAGGAACGCAACACGTGGAAAGTGGTTCCTATCGGCGTGGCACGGAACAAGACAGTGCTCACCGGGAAGTGGGTCTTCCGTGTGAAGACAAAGGCTGACGGCACCATTGACAAATTTAAAGCTCGCTGGGTTGTACGCGGCTTCGACCAAGAACACGGATGCGATTTCACCGAAACTTTCGCTCCGGTTAGCCGTCACACCTCACTACGCATTCTCCTCGCCATCGCCGCCATGAAGAAGAAGAAGCTGCGGCAAATTGACGTCGCGAACGCGTTTCTCTACGCACCTGTTGATGCAGAAATTTTCGTCGAACTACCGCACGGCTCCCACGGAGAACCTAATCAAGTCTGTCAGCTAATCAAGTCACTCTACGGCATC